AGCCGGAGGTGTTTATTTACATTTCGGTGAAACTGTGGTCAAGTGACAATTGTTCAACGTCGTAACACCAGAATTATAGATATGTGAGTTTTAAGTGGTCCGTTCGGAGATAGAGATGGTGCCGCCAAATGATGGTCATTTAGGAAGCGCTACGAAATTGCTTTGTGGAAGCTAGTGCCCACTGCGAAACAAAACGTGAATCCTTACCGTACCGACCAATGAAAACCACTGCCAGTTTAGGGTTCTACAACGAGAAACGCTATGGTCGTAAATCTCCAGCATTTTTCTAGTGAAAGTCAGTCAGCGGGGGTACAAGAGTCCAAGTGACTATTGTCACTAATGGAGTTAGAAAAGTCACCCCGCGGTGACGTGACTCTACATTTGATTTGCACAGAGAGTCACGTCTCCACGACGTGATTTTTCTCACTTCACTAGTGACAAAAGTCACTTCGACTCTCGGAAAACCCCCAGCAACTGGTAGGTTGCGGTATTATGAAAACTACCTCGTTCACGGTTTGCCGGGCTTGTAGCGGCACGTACTCTCGGTCGGCAGGTTTACTTTAAATATTTACAAGAGTAGCATTAGAATTAGCGTGAGTACATTTTTGACTACTATCTACATGAATGTGCGAAGTATTAATTATTCTGTTTCCAAATCCCACAATTAGATTAAAATCATCATCATTAAAATCCCATGGACGATGTACGCTGGAACGATGGAACGATGGAACGCTGTTTTTGCACATGAGCCTATTATGCGTTCATTCATAAATTAAACCAGAAATGTCTCTATTCATGGAAAAGCGCAAGTTTTAATCCACGATTCTTCCCATCCACTTAGGTCTATTACTGTACTGGATCACCAGCCCGCTAATTTGTGAAGGTTTCCTATCGATAACATGTGTGTTATATAAACCAACCAGAAGATAATGCCTGATTAACAACACCTGTATCTCAATATGGTACATCCCGCCCCGCAAAGCCATTCTGCAAAACAAGCTATTAAAACAACAATAAAATACTAAAATTAGATACAAAAAATTGTTTCAGGGTTTTAATACGAGTAATTCTGAATATTATGATAATTTCGGGTATAACTTCACAGGTGATAGGTATAATTGTGACATTTTATGAAGTTGGGAGCCTACAAACTCTTCAAATAATTTGGCTTATGGTTAAATAATTAATTCAATATGACAATTTAAAGAATGCTCCAGACTTGTATTGATTCTTTAACGTTTTTTTATTCTCGTTAATCACACCTTTATTGATTTAATATCCATCAAATTTATGATAATTTGATTAAGTCAACTGTATACTAAAACATTATGGAATCATTTATCCGCTTGCTATGTAAAGTATTGAAACGTTTAGTCTATTAGGTACATATTACAATAAAAAATATCCTAGTATCTGAATGATTGGAAACTTTAATTTTAGCGATGAGAAATATATAGTATGCTGTCTTTTTAAACAAACATTATGTATTTTTGATCATATATTGGTATCATAATTTCATCAGTTACATTTTAATAGTGTAGAATGCCTGATTCAATATCTTCTATTGATTACGCTGTTCGAATGTTGTTTGAACTGGACAATAAATGATGTACAGTTACGTTAAAATAATGTCGATCCCTGTAATTGAACAGTTAAAATATGAACAGTATATAAACCTTAGGTTATTTAATAGGAATCTTGCATTCCGTTGAATGAAGACCGGGATGAAGACGACAGAAGAATTCTGCCTGGTCGACAAGTACACCATAATATTGTAAGGCAGCGTGTGTTCTGCATCTGAATAGTAATGAACATCGTTTCTGCAGTGTCACTCCGCATTGCTGCAAATCCTAGAACCACCAATAACATTAAAATTTCTACACCAAGACCATTCGGTAGCTTGCACTTGCATCCAAATTATCACTGACATTATCGCGGCGGTATCTAAAAAAAATAATGCCCTCTTCCACACTATCGGCAATCCTCCGTAACCGGCATCGGTAGTGTGCTTTCTCGCATCGAAATAGTTGTCATCTTCCGCACTGTCGATCCGTATTTCTTCGTAATCGAAATCTAACAGATAACACCTGACCGCCTGCACCAAGATCATTCGGTAACTTATGCTAGATGGCACATCAAGATCGTCGAAGCGGCATCGAAATAGCTTTTCTCTTCCGCACTGGCGACTCGTATTCCTCTGAAACCGGATATCGCTTGACCCCTTGCATTCTGAAACATGTCCACAACCCGCTGCAACCCGTATACCTCAGTAGTCGCCCACAGTAGGGAAAGGGTCGATGGCGCGATGCCTTCACTGTTACGGAGTTAAAAGGCTGGTGCTGAAATGCAAATAATGGTGGTGGCAAAATTATGGTGCTGAAAATGAAATCGTTGAAACCTTCTCCCTCCTAAATTGCATCAGAGCATTGTAGTTGAAGCCTGATTGCTTGGTACACTAACATGTTGAACAACAGCATGCGAAGCTGAGCTTCGACCAGGAACAGGAACAATGTGCGTCATGTGCGTTGAGCCATACATCGAAATCATCGGAACGGTATCGATATTTACGATCCACAGTGTTCAGTCGTATTCCTTTGCACCGGCACACAACCAGAGTGTAAGCAACTGCCTGTACCTAGGATAGAAGATCAATCCTCCCCGTTAATCTCCGAATAGCACAAAAACGGCATGTCATTAAAAACCTTATACTAACACCAAAAGATTCTTGACGGGAACGTTGTGAACCATAGCAGAAAACTGTCAAGTCAACCGAGATGAGCTTGAAGATGCCGGATGTTGTGAACTGCTCGTTGAAGGTCACGGAAGAAAATGGAATTTCACGAAGAGTAACACATAAAATAAGCGCTTCTTCTTCGGGTAGAGCTGGAACCAGTTTTGTCAAACGAACATCTCTTGTCGACACTAGTTAGGCTCTGAACCATTTGGTGGATTATTTTAACTTTTGGTTAAAATTTGACAGATGGAAAGTTATCGATTAACCCTGCTATCCGAGCGTGGTTACTTTTGACAGACAAGAAGTTAAATTTTGACAACCTTGGGTCGAAAACCGGTCGATTGACAGCACGGGGATTTTCGAACATAGAAAATAACTTTCGAAATGTCACTTTTAACCACGAGTTAAATTTAACTCGGCAAATGGTTCACAGCCTTAGCTGTTTTTTTTTTCTTCTTTTTGGTAAACACCCGGCGGCACCTGATCCTATAAGTAGAAAAATTAAAACCAAACAAAAAATATGTCCAGAATCCTTACTCTCGTATCAAATTAATCCAACACTTACGAACTTTCTTGCTGGGTGGGTGGAGAGTGACTAAATTTACGACATAACATTCCACACTTTCTGTAATGGGAAACCGTGCGAGGAGGCCAATTTCTTTCCAGCTATCACAATTTTGGTTCGGAAGAATCTGAAAAAGCCGAAAAAGCAATCCAGTGTGACATTTAGTCAGCTTCTCGGCCATGCACGCTATTTCAAAACTACCCAAAAATGGGTAAACTTTTTTCGGAGCTCGGTTCGGAGTGACAAGTTGATAAATGTACAAAGTCGATCGGATTAATGTCGATGTTGTCCATTTGTCAACTTGTCAATCCGAACATAGTTTCACTATAAATAAACTCCAACATTCGATTCACTTTTAAATATAGCTGATTCACAACGAGATTGACTTCATTCACATTATTTAAGGCTCGCCTGATGTGCGTGTAGGCTCGTGTATACTTAGCAGCAAATGAATCGACACACACACACACACCTACTTTTCATGAAAAATCCTTCAGTAACTATCGCCATCGACTTCTATCTACTGCAGCATCGAAAAAGTGGATGCCAGCAAATAGTAGGAAACGGTAGGAAACGGAATCCTGAAAATCTACACTCACCAAGAAAATCATGTGTAAATAGAGTTGAAGCTAAACGACATTTTGGATGTGTCGCCCCCCTCGCGTAGATATTGAGTTGTGTGCTCTTGAAATTGCGATGTGTGATGGAAAAATGGACTCTACAAGGAAACATCGTCGTGAGCTTTTCGTATAGGCATCCGTCTACTTTTCGATTATGCCCTCTAGTGTGAACGGTACACAGTGATCCCAAGTAAATCTATAAGCGTACCCCATTCTATTCTAAATCCTAGTACTACACTATGTTTGTTTTGATTCGCTATGAAAGTTTGACAGATAAAATGAGGGGTTCGTGGATTTTCCTATGTTTCGAGGGGTGCATCGATTAGCTTGGGACCGAAGAGGGTACCAGAGCTGAGCTAAAAAGTTGAGCACGTGTCTTCGGGACCTTCTGGTCTTAGAGTTACCTCTATGATACAACCAATCTACTTGATTCGAATCACATTATCCGTTTCATGTCATAGGTAATCGAATGGCATACTTAAAAACAATCACAATTTTTGGTGTAAATACAGAAATCTTAAAAATATATGGGCATAGCATGCTAAAATTACGATTGGCATCAAAACATGTTTTTTTTTCTCTCTCTCTGAATTATTCTCAATAGCCGTGCAGCATCTTTGCTCGCTAATGGGATTTATTATTGACTTGGTGCGAACTTATTTCGATGAAGGGACTTGTGTTGAGTGCGCTAGGGTAAAGAATTTGGTGCCTCAAACTCAAACTCAAATATTTGCCAGCAGCAGTAAAACGTTAACAGTCATATCCGTTGTAACAGTTAATTTGGCAGACACGTAAAAGGTCACTAATTAAATTTACGAGAGTACTGTCCCATCTGCGATAGCAGACCCTACTTACAAGTTTGCTATGGTAAAGTGACCCTTTCCCGGTTTTAATTAGATGACAGTGCCAGTGCCAGTCGAGTGGACAAACTTTCAGTGGTTGACTCTTTAAGTGTATGCTTTCCATATTTTTTTCCTTGACCAACCAAATTAGAATTGTTAATCATTTGCAGTTTCCACACACAAGCTTCTCGGATTATGCAAAGTTTTCATCGTTTTCTGTTTTTTCCCGTTCTTTTCAGAGCATCATATTCCGTGTTCAGCAGCATCCACAGGTGCCGGGATTCACACAGTGTGTGACGTTTGGGTTTTTTCGAACCCCCGGCATGGAAACGGCGTACAATCTGTTCTGCGTGGTGGCGATGTACTTCATGCCGCTGATGGTCATCAGCGCGGCCTACACGGTCATCCTGTGCGAAATATCCAACCGGTCGCGGGAGAAAGGTAGGAGGCATCCTCTAGCTAAAAAAAAATACATCAAAATTCAATCGATGCAGGCATATATTGTCCGTTCAGATAAAACTTACCTGTACGTCGCTGATGAATTGATTTCGACGTAACTAGCGGTACTGAAAAAGAACGGTTTAAAATGCAAACAATAACAACAACAACAACAACAATGATATAATCATGATTTCCATTAAGGTTGGAAGTAGGATCGGATGTTGGAAGTCAGACATTCGAACTTTAATTTAGTGCTGGCACCACAATACCACTTGGTTGAATCTCTTTTGGAAAAAAATGGCCATTGATAACGATTTCAATTGAAAAGAACAAAGGTGTTTGAGGTTGCGTTGGTGTCATAAAAATACATTTGAAGCTATTTTTATAAGCCTTTAAGGGGCTGTTCATATAGAAAGTGGACATTTTAAGGGGGTGGGAGAACGTGTATATTGATGATTTTCCACACAGGGGGGAGGGATCTAAAACAACAACTGTTCACGTGGTATATGGACAGCTTCCAACCAGGGGTCCATCGACCACCTCCGGTTTGAACTTCGTCAGCTTAATTTTATTCTAGAATTCACTCGAGTTCTCCTCACAATTTCCTTAGAATTCCAGTCAGAACATTCTTGAAATTTTCTTCAGGATTCAATTAGAATTCTTTTGGCCAGTGGTGGCAAATGTAAAAAAAAAACAGGCACATGGGCGGTATATTTCAAGCGAACGGCGAAGATTCAGTTGAGAAATATCACGACATGTTTACCGATTGCCAGTTTGTCTTTGTGTGTCTTCATTATGGTCATTGCGAAAAGTATTACATGTTAAGGGGAAAATGTTAAAACCCAGTACTTGTGCCACCACTGCTCTTGGAAATCCAGAAGAAATCTCCCCGGAATTCGGAATCAGGTGATGTTCAGAAATTGTTTCTACGATCTGATTAAGATTTTTTTGATTATTCTACAAAGTGTCAGAATCTTTTTCCAGTTTCCCCTCTGCCTACACCCATGAAGGTTAGTCTTTGCATGAGTTGTCAGCATTATTTTTTTGCGAGAAAATTTTCCCTATTTAACGGAACCGTACCTCAAGTCTGCTCTGATGGTGGCTTCTCATCACATCACAAACTTCAGCTTCTCCATGCGAGAAAACCAAAGCAAAAAGGGTGTTTGCATCGAGTCCGTTCGAGCGAATGCCCTTTGGCATGAAACGTGAATAATAAGCTTCGCCAGAAAAAGCAAACTTCGAATGAACTTGATTTCCGTTCGTGATGCATTGAATAACATCCTGAATAAACATTTCCAATCGTTTGATACTGTTTTACGATTATTATAGGGGAAAAGCTCCTATAGTTGCGGTACGTTAGAAGCGTTAGGTTCCTATAGTGGTGCATGGAGACTCAATACACAACTATAGGAACCTAACGCTTCTAACGTACAGCAACTATAGGAGCGTTTTTTTTTTGCTTTATTAGAGAGATTTTCAGCCTTGGGCAGGTCTATAGGAGCGTTTCCCGTACCTCCTGAACTTGTTTTTGATTCATTTCCAACTTGGATCGGGTATTAGCATTGGGTCTGCATTAGACTGATGCAAAATTTAAAATTTCCGCTCCACAGTGCTCAAACGGTTCCAAATTGGGACCTGATTAGCCTCCCGAAATTTGAACTCATTTAGTGAGAAACTGACACAAACCGTTTGAAGTTTATATGGGAATTACTATGAAGAAACCATAATTTCGGTTCATATCTAACTCAGTTCACTCTACTTTAGAAAATGATAGCTGAGCTTGTTGAAAATTTTCTCAGCTACAACTTTGTTCAAGACCACTTTTCGATCAAATGTTGATTCAAGTCACTGATGTCTTATGATTATGCCAGGCCCTTGACATCCCTATACCAAATAACAGTGAATGAAAGTAGGCGCCATGTCCCGGGCACAAATTGATTTGGGCCCGCTGTCAGCTGTCAAATAGTCGAAGAAGAAGAAGAAGAAGAAGAAGAAGAAGAAGAAGAAGAAGAAGAAGAAGAAGAAGTCGATTGGTTTGTTTTGATTTGACGCGAAATACAACAAGTTCTGCTGAAGCTACGGCGCAAAGCTAGAAAAAAGTAGTCTTCAAAGTAATTCGTGTGATTTCGGTACTTTCATTGTATTTTCCATCGTATTTTAATCGTTTTCCGGATCTACATTATGCGCCAGTGGCAGAAAATGTCTCGGCGAAACGATTTTATCGTTTCAAGACTTGTTTTCTCTGACAATTTCCCGAAAACAAAAACTGATCGTCTGGATATACGGGATATACGGAGTCATCTACCCTGATCACATCAGATTCTTGCTGATGAATAGGAACATTAAGACGCTGCTAAACACAACAGTACCTACATTATATATTTGGAACTAAAACTTTAAAAGACTAGTAAGTATTTTGAAATGATTCTTCACAAGAGTTTTAATTGCAAATGCTTGTTGTTTTTTTTTTTCAATTCCGGAATCCCAATTGCTGAAACGGTCTAGTGAATTCATCTCGCAGTGATAGGAGACAGGGCCAATACGTAGGATGATTTGCCTAAAGTAAAACAGGTGGTATATTTTTCCGATACCAGTTGAAGCATGTGGAGCTGATGATCGTCGTCACAAGGCAAAAGGAAATCCAAATTTGCAGCGCTCCGTGCAACAGAATGTATGACCATGTTATCGAAATGCAATCCCACATTCACGTTCTTATCGGTTCCAACAAGGTTCTGAAAAAAAATATGATTTTTTACCCACGAATACTTATGATGATGATCTTAGCCCATATACTTACCCTAAACTCAAATTCAGCTGCCTTGCAAATCAGAAGGAGTGTGTCAACATTAGAAATCACTTCAATGCATTGCTCGCAGATGATTTTAAGAGCAATTTGCTTGCCAAGTTGCTCAATGTTTGTTTTTATAGCAAAATGAGTGATATCATCGTTGCGGAATAGTTCCCATTTATTCTCCGTTTCCAGGCTAGCCGTTTCTTGAAGGGGTTGATTTGAATCCATATCAGGCGTATCAGGTATGATATCACAGCATTGTAGAAGTGGCGTAGTATTGAAATCAGTACAATTACCATACGATGAACTGCTAATTTCGATTTGGTTCAGCATCCTCTTATAGCTTGCTCGAAACTGGCCAGCATTTGGATTAATATTTGAATCGCTTTTCGATCTTATTGCTCCGAAGAACATCTCCTGGTGGTCTTGGCTAAAACGGTACGTGTATATAACTGACATGCTTTTATTGATTTCACAGTATTCTGTGTAAAGATAACGAAATGTTTCCATGGCCACAAAGAAGCCAAGGAAACCAGTCTTATACATAGATTTCAAAATCAATGTGCCATCCAATAACTTTATACTTCTGATGTAACCTTCCGCGAATGCAAATACTTCCCGAATATCATGGATATTATCCTCATCAAGTGGTTTTTTGAAATTCTGAGCATCGCTCCTCATACTACCGTTCCGATTCAAATTTCATTTTTAATTAAATATTACATCCAGTTAGAAACAAAGTAATAATGTTAGATGATCGTGGAGGGCACTAGTCAAAAAAATTTAAAATTTACAAGACATGTGGATCATATTCGAACGAGATAATCAACTTTTAAAAGTGTCCGAAACTCGAGTTTAAGTGTCCGAAATTTGAATCGGCACGGTATTCAAAATGTCGAATATATTATTGAACAGTTGCAAGAACTCAGCAGTATGAACGGAATCCGTAAAATCAGCTTCATAGGAGCTTAAAAAATTCAAGGCTGACGCTACGCTGCCACTGATGGTTTGAACAGCCAGAATGACTTTCATTTTGCTGTTTTCGAAGTGGACATGTTTGTCACTTAAATTCTCTGCTATTTTTATTCCCCGATCATTTTGATATTCATTCAGCTTCTCTATATACTCCCATTTAACAGTTCCGCTTCTTGAAAGCAGTGTCTGCTGAGAATGCAAAGTGTTACGCACCAGTTTAATCATGTGTACGACGTCCAATAGTACGCACACGTCATACTCGCCACATGGATGCGAAAACCTGGGTTTCAAATTCAGCGAATCGGTACGTAGGTCACAGCCAAGTGCATTTGCTGTTGCAATGTTAGACTTTGTACCATCAAAAGTGAATGCTACTACTTTGACTCCAACTTCGTGCAGGTTGCAGAGGATGGTATTTACAAGGTTCTTCTTTTCTTCGGCTTTTAGTCCATTGATTAAATAATATGCAATCCGCACTTTCCATGCTTCCTCAACGCCAGACACCATGAAGACCAGCGCCTCTTTTGCGGGGGTTAAATTTTCTCCCTGTGATGTTATACCACCATAGTTCACAGTACCATCAAATCGTTGACTATGCTTGATCCATGTCACCTGCTGACGAATTGCCATTTCATCCATTAGTAGGCATCCATGTAGTGCCTTGCCCTGTTCTAACATCTCCTGTGCCTTCACCCGTAGAGCATCAAGAGCCTGGCCACTTACACCTGGCTCACCGTTGACGTTGACGTACCATCGGGAAATTGTACGAGAGTGAGGTAGAGCATTTCGAAAAACCTTACGAACGTAGTTGTAAGCTCTTGGTGAGTAAAAGTGAAGAGTAATAGCAAATTTCCGTAGTGATTCGCTGTAAGGATTTCCATTTTTCCTGGATTTCAGCTCCACAAATATGTCATTATTGGTTGAATACTCCTAGGTTATAGTAAAGTGTGAATAAATTAAAAAAAAAATATGTATAGATTTATTGGCTTATGTATCTTTTTTTTGTAAATTTATTATTTCGAAATAGATCGAATTACACAAGAAAATACATATTAACACCGAGATTAAAACTAATGATTAAATTGAAATTCACCTGCAGTGGATTATTTTCGAAGTCATCAACAAGCTGCTTTTTTTGGAGAGTCGACATCAATTGTTCCATACTTGTCATCTTATCATTCAGCCTTCTGTTCTGAGCCCTTAATAGTTTGATTGTGTGCTGGTTTCGTGCAAA